AAGAATATTGCTACCCTCCCGTTCTGTCTCAGCTCAGAGGCAAATACAGCCCAAATGTATGTAAGGTTACCTGGCTGGGGAATAATAGAGTCAAAATTCAAACTTCAACTCAACTGGTGCTGATGCCCAGGTGCTGTCTATTTTACATGCCACCCTGCACCTCACCTCCATTTGGGAGGTGTGCAAATGACAGCACTGGCAGTTGGATTCCAACACCAAGGATCCTCCGAGAAGGAAACCTCAAATGAAAGCGGTGCAGACTAAATGCTGGTGTGCCTCACTTTAAGCAAATCCACTATATCCAAACCTAAAAATAGCTCCTCATATTGGAACTCTTTCCCATATGAATTCATTCCCATATGAAAAAGAATCACTGGGTCTTTTCTTTGAGAAGCCAACTCCATTAGCGCATTAAAAATACGACTGAAGTTGCCAAATGTGATTTCATATGCAATCCCTTCCCCCCACCCCAGCCCTAACATACTTCTCACTCCTGTTCCCAAAGGAATACTTTGCCTTGCCTAAAAAGAGGTTGGCCTGCAGTGAGGGGGGCTGGTAATCAACATGGCAAACACATGTCCTGGATTTTCTGAGACTGGCTCGCTTTCTAATATTAGGTTTCCATTGTCCCATGAGAACACTAAGAACTATTAGACCTTGGGGACTTGTGCTTTAGTTTGAAAGATGTGGTCACCATGGAGCAGAGGGCACTGTCTTATCAAACCCATTTTCCAGCCTGGCAAGGCTGAAGGCTAGGCCTGATCAGAGAGGGGCTGCCATGAGGATCCCAGAATTGAGTCTACAAGGTAGGGTGGGGGATGTAGGGTATGGGGTGAGTCAGCAGAGAGGCAGCCCCCTGGGTTCCTGGGATCTATTAGCAAGCATGCCATGCAAAGCAGGCAGGCTGCAAAGATCCAGGGCTCCCTCACCGGAGTTCCTCTGCATGGGAAGTGGGCGGGCAGGCCCTGGAGGGTGGCCAGGGAAGAGCAGCTTCATGATTAAAGGGTTGGAGACCAGGACTTTTGAAGCGAGACTGGGAAGGGTGGTTATTTATGCATTCAGCTCTGGTCCCTGGCTCCACCCCACCCCACCCCACCTCCCTGCAACCCTGACCCGCAGCCCAGCCTGGGCTGCAACTAGGCTTTAGGGACTGAGAAGGAAGGCAAAGATTTCCCACCAATCACTGAGGACCTAGGATGCACAGGCAGGGGCTTTAACACATGTGCCTCGTGAATTCTCCCAATGAGCCTACAGGGAAGGGGTTACTAACCCCATTTTACAGGTGGGAACACTGAGTTGAAATACTTTGCTCAAGGTTTATTTCAAGATAGAAGATCCTCCAATTCTACCTCTTTGCAGCAAAACTAGAAGTAACAAAGGGTAGGGATAAGGAAAGCTTACTGAACCCCTCCAATAATTAGGTTGTTTCTGGGGGACTGTTTATGTGTGACATGATAGTTCCTAAGATAACAATAATGATGAGGTTGATGCTATTTACTGCTTACTGAGCAGCTGCTACCTGCTCAAGATTACTACATGTGATCCTTGCCCCCAAATTCCTAAGGTGGGCATCATAATCCTTGTTTTACAGATGAGGAAACACACCTGACTTGCCATGGTCATAGAACTAGCAAGGACAGAACAAGTACCCACATAATGGTTGTGGGAGCAGCTTTATCTCTGGGAAGGAAGTTGGGAGGGTGACTCAAGAGCCATCCTGGGAGCACAGGAGGGTCAGCCCTGGAGGCGCTGGCTGATTAGCTCCTGTCTAGCGCCCTGTATTAGCTCACCTCCATACTTTGGCTTGTGCCATTTCCTTCCTGCATTAAAACAATTAAAAAATATACGCCAAATCCTACTCATTGCTGGCTCCTTTTCCGTGACTCTTCCAGCATCTCCTAATCACAGCGGCTCCTTCCCTCCCTCACCTCTGTTTCTGCCCTTCGTGTAGCAGTAGGATCCTGGGCTCTTCTACCTATCTGGACCAAAGTATTGGAGAAGAGAGGTGCAGTGCTATTTAGGGAAGGGCTTTCTGGTGGAAATGTCAGAGTGGGGATTATGGAGTTCCAATCTGGGAAACTGGAGTGAGGCAGAGACAGTGGTTCCTCTTGGTGAGCGGGGTGACAGGGCAGTGAGGCCTACATCTCTGCCAGCTTCAGGGACAAATGTGGTTCTGGTCATTCCTCACTTCCTTTCACCTTCCTTACCAATCCCTGTATTGTGTCCTTTGCCTTTGAAACTGAGTTTCCTGGTACACACTCTATAACCCTTCTTAATATTGCCTGACCATGGTTCCACTGTGGTGCTATAGAAAGAAGTCAGAACCAGGGTTCACAAAGGCCTGGGGTTTGGTAGGTTTGGACTGTGTAGTCTTGGGTAAGTCAGTGTCTCTCTCTGAGCTTCAAACTGGCCAGGGGACTTTCCACTGGACTCAGGAAATACAGGATCAGTAGTAAAGGGTCCCTGTCCTGAAGGAACTCTAGGGAGGGACGCCATCAGATAAACAGATCTTTGTAAGTCAAGGTGGCTGCTTATGCAATTCAGGATGGGCCACACACTGAGGGGAAGCAGGGAAGAGCAGTACTTACTGCCAGCAGTAGTCAGGAAGAGGGAACATCTGAATAAGGATTTGAAGGATGATGGGAGTTTGTCAGGCAGAGAAGTGAGTAGGGGTAACCTGACTTCTGATAGTGAGGTGCCCTGGCCTTCAGGGAGGGTCCTGGCACCACTATGGAAACCTCAACTCAACCACCATTTAACTCCTGGTAAAATTCAGCGACAAGAGCAGCTCTCTATAGAAATGGGTGGTAGGACTGGAGCAGAAACCAGAGCAGCAGTCCACATGAGAGTTTCATGAAGAGGTAACTATTCCATGTTATTAAATGATACAGGGACCAGGGAAGATGAAGGTGGTAAAATGTAAGAAAATTGTGGGAATAAAGAAAAAAGACTGGAAGGAAGGATGCCAAAATGCTCATAGTGGCACCCTGAGGTGGTGGAATGATGGATGGGTTTTTTCTGCTTTTTCTGTTCCTGTGTGCTACTGCCAATTTTTCCTACAATGAAGCGTTTATTTGATAATCAAGAGATAGAACAATTGAAACTTGTTTAGAAAAGAAGTCATTGGTGACCTTGGCAAGAACGGATTCAAACAGTTGTACAGCCAAGCCAGATTGCAGGGCATTAAGCAAGTGGCAGGGGGTGAGGCAGCGGAAGAAGCACGTGGGGAACTCAGAGAGGTTTGGCAGTAACTGGAAGGACAGAGATGGTATCTGGAGGCAGCGGGGCCAAGCAAAGATGTTGTTCTTTATTTAATGTGGGAGGAACTTTTGAAAGTAATGAAGTTTCCGGAATAAAAAGTCAAGATCTTCTAAGGGACTTGTGTGTCTCCTTCGGATGTAAGACATAGAAGGAGAAAATTTATTGGAATTTCTGGGACTCTTCTGTGACTTGTGGGAACAACAGGAAAAAATTAAATGTAACTGGGATTGATCTGGAGAATTCAGGCTTTGTGGCAGTTGAATATTGTGTGGATTTCCTACCAAAGGGAAAGGATAAAGGTGATGCTAAAGAGGATATTTAGAAGGAGGGGACACCTATGCTCACAGCAGCATTATTCACAATAGAGAGACAGCGGAAGCAACCTTAGTGTTCTCTAACAGATGAATGGATAAAGAAAACATTGTACATGCACCCCATGGAATATTAGTCAGTCTAGAAAAGGATGGAATGTCTGACACGTGCTACAACATGGGTGAATCTTGAAGACATTGAGCTAGTTGAAATGAGCCAGTCACAAAAGGGCACATTATATGTGAGTTCACTTTTATGAGGTACTTGGAATATCTCATAGAGAGCAAGTGGGATAGTGGTTGCCATGAGAGTGGGAGGAGGGGGGAATAGAGGGGGGAATGGGGTGTTTTGCTTAATAGACACAGAGGTTTTAGAAAACGAAAAAAAGTCTGGAGAGGGATGGTGGTGATGGTTGCACAACAATGTGAATGTATTTCATACCACTGAGCTGTGCACATAAAAGTGGCTTAGATGGTTGATTGTGTTATTTTACCACAATTTTAAAAAGTAAATAAAAAGAATGATGAAAGAAGGGGGAGGTCAAAGAGGAAAAAGGGGAGTATGGATTCTTGGGGTAGTGAACTGGCGGGGAGGGCTGAGTGTCCCGATAGAGGTGGTTTGGCTTGGTGGAAATAGAAAGAACACTTTCTATTCACAGCACAGAGTGAGTAGGGTAGATGGAGAAACAGCAGTGGCATGGAGTAGGGCTGGGTCAAGTCAGGTACCCAGAGGGGAAGTCTGCCCTTATCTGCTATGGCTAAGATTTAGAGAGCAGGTTGAAATGATTTATTCATTTATTTGTTCCACAAGGTAGGACTTCAGTATCAGCAGGACCATCGAAATACCTCTGTGTGATTAGAGAAAAAGCACAGGGTGTTTCCCAGCAGACACAGCCATAAGGGTTTAGTAAGGGGACAGTATCTGTGTCCTAGTCTCTCAGCTGAGTGCTTCTATATGGTAAGCATATGCACCATCAGCCCAGTGAACCAGGTTCTGTGCTGCACTCTGCAGAGTTTCTGAGCTACAGCAGACTCGGCCCATGCTGGGAAGAGCCAATGTTGCCAGGGTTGAGTGTTCAGAGGAAGAAAGGAGAGGTAATCTGTTGGACAGCATGACCCTGAGTCCTGTGCACTTTGCTTCTGTAGGGCTGTAAGGCCAGGAGACAAATGGAAAAGGTGGCAGGATTGACTGAGCTTGGGCATTTGGCATTGCAGACCCAGTGCAGGTCAAAGGGACAGAGCATGACTACATTGAAGCTGCTGACCTGGATCTTGGCTTGGGAGGGGTCTGGCATGGTCGGGGAGGAAGTTGCCTGAGGAACAGCCAACATGTGTGAGATGCTTAGGAAGCCTGCGAACCACCTGGGCTTCCTGGAACTGACTGGAAATACTGGGCCCCCTTAGGCAGCAATGTCTCTTTCTACTTACCCTGGTTTGTATATACATATATATACTTGGCAGCATTGGTTGCTTCTGGATCATCTGAGGCACTGAGTAGAGCACACACGTACTGAGGCCTCCCAGGCATCATACACTGTGTTAGTTTCTAGGGATCAGAACAAATAAAAACTGGTCCCTACTGTCAAGGATCTCAGTATGGCATAGGACGCACACCCCTAGATTCACCTGGGCTTACTGCCTCCGAGAGCCCTCACCAGACATTCGCAGAGGAGAAAATAGGCAACTAGCTCTGCCTAGCCAGTGTGATAAGGCTTCCTGGAGGTGATGAGTTCTGAGGTAGGTTTTGAAAGGACAGTAGGAGCAGAGAAGTAGTGGCGAGGCATTCCAGGTTAGGTCTCAGGGGCTTTGGAAGTGTAGGGTAAGTGATTTTCAGGCTTTTCTGCCCTCCCGCCATGAGGATTGGTGATGGATCCTTGTGATCCTGAATGCATGCCTGATGGTGGGCACCTGGAGTGGGGTGTGGGCATGTGTAAGTGAATACACCTGTGCTGAGAGACTGGGCTTATAAGGGCAGCGTCACGGGGTTGCCAGAAGAACCATGAGAGAAGCAGAGAGAGTGCTGGAGAGCCCAGGAAGAGTGAAAACTTGCTGGGGGCTGGGAGGCCTGCCAGCCTCCCGGCCCCCCAGCACCCCTGCCTGCTGTGTACCTGGTAAATCCCAATAAAAGCCTGCAAAAACCACTGGGGGCTCCAGAACTCTCTCCTCCTTTACCCCATCTGCCCAGTCATAGACAACCTGCTCTGTGTCCCTTCCTGCCGTTACAGGAAGGTTCTAACCAGCTTCTAACCACATTACAGGTAATGTGTCCTATAGAGGTTCTCCAGGGACCAACAGTGCCATTTGGATTTTCTAAAACTCACAGGGACCTAAGTGGAGTGGCAGATTTCGTATGGGGTTATAGCTGTTTCTATCTAGAGGGAGGCAGGAGGGAGTAGTCATAAAACCTGATTGTACCATCTCTCCCAGTTGTAATTTACTCTTTTCCAATCAAGAAGGATGGGTGGCATGGAGGGAGAGGAGTAGCTGGGTGGGCTGGGCTGGACAGACCTGGCACTGGAGGGACCGGCCATTGGGCAGGAGGATGCTGTTTATTTGACTGCAATGTATATTGAAAGGTCTCAGTTACAATGGGCCCGGGCGCTCTTTAACAAGCTGCAGCTGTCCGCTTGCTTGTTAGCTTTCTTGACATCTTCTCCAGCCTGGTCCTTGGGGAACAGCCCCGTACCCTCCCTATGTGCCCAGGCCCTGGAAGGCTGACTTCTTGCCCTCAGCCCCCAAGCTACCGTGATGAATGGCGCAGTTGCTCCGTGCAGACAAACGCCTTCCTGGAACAAGCCCTGTTTGTTTAAGACAAACAATCCACATCGACTTTGGTGAAAACCCCTGCACTGAAGGCTGCAGCCTCACCTGATACCCGCCTGCCCTTCTGCCTCTAGGCACTGGGAAAAGACACACCAAGGCACCAGAGGCCAGGAAGACTTAGGATCTGCCCTCAGGATGCGTCTCCAAGGACATCGGGCCCATGGTCTTGGAGGTGAGTGGAGAGAACGAACCCTCCACAGAGAAGAGAGGCAGGTGAGCATCGAGGAAGGCAGGGACTTCAGCATCTGTCACTGGTTCCCTATGTGTGTCTCTGCTCTGAGTACCTCATGGCTTCAGGTCTCACCAATGTAGAATAGGCCAATCTGTTAGATCAATGGTTTTCAATCCTGGTTGCACATTGGGGTCATCTGGGGAGATCTTGGGAAATACTACTGTCCAAGACCCCATTCTCAGAAACCTGATTTCACTTGGGGCTCAGAAGCCACCATAACCCCCCTTCTCTCTATCCCTAGGGGTTCTAAGGTGCAGCCAGAGTTGATAGTCATGGGTTTGGGTGGTTCTCTATGACTTTCTTTTTGCCTTGAAAATTCCTGTTTCCTTAGCAAATGCCTCCAGGAAGCCATCAATTTGCAGACTCTGGGTCCCCAGAAGTCTCTTTATTAGGAGAACCTCCTGGACAAGCCCACCTGGACCAGAGTAGGAAGGGACCGCAGAACTCATCCACACAGTGGGCAGTGGTTCTTATTGCAGAGGGAATGTTGAGGATGGAGAGTAAGATTGGAGCAATGGCAGCTCCTTAAAAGCAGAGACCAAGTCTGCCCCCACCTTTTCTTTTCTATTTGTAGCTTCCTCTTGACTTAGCAATAAATGATGGTATGGATGGATGGATGTGAAGAGTCCATCCTTGTTGTGGGCTTCCATCACTAGATCTGGCTGCGGGTCACCTGAGCTGCCATCACCACTGTCACTGCTGTGAATGATGGCGGGGCAGGGGCCAAGGAGGCACTGAGAGAGCCTGTGAGCATTGGGATTTGGGGGAGGGTCATTAATAAGGAGTTAGTATTCGAAGCTAGTCTTGACAGGCTTGCTGTGAACAGTGAGGCCCAATTACACGCCCATTATACTCCACTGTGAATTCACATCTCCCAAAGCACATCATAGTGTAGCCAAGAATTTCATGTCTTCAAAGGTTTTTTGCCCCAAAAGGCCATTTCTGCTAAAGGAAGATGTGTCCCTGCAGGCATCAGAGGGGAAGGAGAGGCCCAGTGCTGGGTGAGGACAGGAGTTAGTGCTCTGGATTGATTCTGTATAACTCTCACAAGCTATTCCTCAAAATCCTGCCCAACCCTCCCTGGTGGCCCAAGGGGTTAAGCACAGCACTATTAAGCTGTCCGTAGCCTCTGCAGCATGAGTTCGATCCTCTGCCAGCCAGGGAGCTACCCACATGGTTCAGCAGACCTCTCCTGACTTGCCTGCTGCTCCCCTCAGCAGTGTATTTCAGTCACTCTGCCTGTTCTGTTCCCCGCTCTGTCTCTGGTGAATCCTCTCACCCCCCACACCTCTGTTCTACACCCCAGTTCTTGTATGCATAAACAAATAAATCTTTAAAAATACAAATCTTTTAAAAATATCTAAATAAAAAATCCTGCCCAACACTCAAGCAGCTTCCCCGCCACCCCTCCACACACAAACACACACACTTTTTGGACTCCTTGGCAGACACTCTGTCCTGCCGCGCATGCAGAGGTAAAGGATAAAGGTCCTACCTTCAAGGACCTTCCAGCCCAGGAGTAGAAGGTATCAGGAAAGGAGCGAAGTGCTAGGGAATCTCAGAGGAGAAAGTCTCTCACAGAGAAGGGGACTCAGGGAGGGTGACCCCTCAGGGAACTGACATTTAAACTCAGTGGTAGTTCATCAGCGTATATGGCAGAAATCCGGATTCTTTTTCAGTTCAACAGGGGAGCCTATTGTGCAGATAGGTTTGGGAACGATTTGGTTAATGGATGGTGGGGAAGGCATCACAGGGCAAGGGACAACACGTGCAAAGGAAGGAAGGTGGCCCCAGAGCATGCAGGAAATGGAAAACCATCAAATGAGTCTAGAAACCAGTTCATTTGGGGGAAAGAAGGAGAGGTGACTCGGGTAGGAAGGTAGATGCAAAGCACCTTTTTGTTAGAAAGCTTAAAATAATTCCCCCAGGAAGCGATAATCCATTTCAGTCCTCCTCACACGGTGCTGATTTGCCCAAGTTGCGGGGAGATCTGGTGCCGATTACCAGGTTTCGGTGCATTAAATAATGCAACAATAAAATTTGGGTCATTGCAGCACAAAGTCCCCTTTATTTTGACAAGTGTAGTTCTTACTCTGAAGTGTTATCATAAATAATTAAATTAAACCAGCAAATGGCTTGTAGTATGCTTTGCCGAAGTAACAAAGTCTCTGTAACCCCAGACGCTGAGCCACTCCTTTGGGGGATTCTTGGCTCAGAAACATTTGGGGATTTTTCAGAGCTCAGGAGTATTTGGACTAGTTGAGGGAGAGGGGAGAGTAGAAGCCTTATCTCATCCCCCTGCTGCCTGCCTCCCCATCCGTACATTCCTGGGGTGCATCCCTGTCTTACCCTCTGACCTGTGGTCCTGTGGTTGTTTGCTCCTTTGTCCTGAGCTGGTCTGGGGTGGAAGGGTTGGGAGGCCCGGTGCAGATGCTGTGCAATTTTTTTTCCTTCTGATGCCTGCTCCAAGTTTTAATAAGAAGGTATGTCCAGTCCTAGGGTGTCAGGGCTTACAGGGACTCTGCCATCCAGCTGCTCCATTGTGTTCTAGACAAGAAAACAGAAGCTCAGGGAAGTGCCTTTGGCTTGTTGGCTGACACAGGGGCGAGTAACATGCAGAGTATGAGTGGAGAAGACTCAGACCCATAGGGGCAACTCTTCGGAGGAACAGGGGCTTCAGGGCAGAGATGGGGGAAACTGGGGGAAGGATAAAGGGGAAGGGGAAACAAGGAAAGAAGCAGAAGTGAGATTTGTTGTAGGGTGGGGGACCTTCAACCAGGGTCTAAGGGATATCCACGAGGACACTCTGAGAAAATGGCCTGTGTCCTCAAGCATCCAGATCTCTACCTGTTCCATCTAGACAGTTCTTAAACTAACCATGAGAGCAGTGAGATCTTTGCAGGAGAGAGGATGAAAGGTGCTGGAGGGTACCCTCAGAGGCAGAGCTTTCTGATTAAAAGTAGACAGGAGTGTTCAGACCCTCCTCAAGGTGAGAGGAAAGCCTTTCTCTTCCTTTTCTTTATTTTTTTTTTATTTAAAGATTTGTTTATATATACAAGAACCAGGGTACAGGCCAGATGCGTGGGAGGGTGAGAGGATTCACCAGAGACAGAGTGGGGAGCAGAACAGGCAGACTGACGAAATACACTGCTGAGGGGAGCAGCGGGCGACACAGGAGAGGTCCACCCCACATGTGGGACCCTCACTGGCCAGCAGGGATCGAACCGGCACTGCAGAGCCTGTGGACAGCTTCACAGCGCTGTGCTCAACCACCTGCACCACCAGGGGAGGCCCCTTTTTTCTTCCTTTTCTATCCACTCCTCCTGCACTGTTCTTTCCCATCATCCTGCCTGCTGAACATCCAAACATAGCTTCTGTCCCCCACCTCGAGGCTTTAGGATGGGGTGACGTTCCCATCAGGTCCTCCTTTGGCAGTATCCCGGGCCAGTAGGACTCCCCACAGGGGCAACCCCATTCTTAGAGCCAGAACTTCCAGTGAGAGTTCCAGAACCTAAGCTCCTTCAGAGTCCCAGGCCACTTTCAGGAATTCCGAGGGCCGCCAGGCTGAGGCAGCTCCGCGGAGTGTGATGAATAGGTATCCCGGATGGAGGAGCCCAACTGAATGAGGTGCCTGAGAGCACACGTGGCCTTTCCGCCCACCCCCCTCAGACCTGGTGTTTTTTATATCACCTTTAGTGGAAAGGAAAGCATGTTGTTCTAACTCCACGGAACTCTGAGCTATGTAAACAACAGGCATGGAGCTTGGAACAAAAATCACCTACAGGGCAGACAGAGTCACACTAGAAATCCCTAAGAGGCAGAGGCTGAGGCTCCAACGTTCCGAGGTAGAATTTAAGGGTACTCATGCTCGAGAGTTGGTGGATGTCGGGTGGTGTGGGTTTTTGCCCTGGGGGTTGCTGGTCTTCCTGTGGAAGAGGGTAGAGGATTGGTGAGCCCTTCTGTCTCTCCTCCATCCAATGCACCCCTCAGTCCTGGGGGATGAGAGGAGAGGGCCAGAGAAGTGAATTCAGCTGACCTGGAAACACTGATGAGGCCTGTGCCCCCTGGGAATCCATCAGGTGTTGCTGCTCGCTGGTTCTCTCCAGTGCCCACAGATATGGGGGAGACTGCTTCGCGAGCAGTTGTTGCAGGGCAGGGGTGGAGGAGAGGGGATATGCACACCAGGTATGATCTGAAACTGCCCCCAGAAACCACCACTAAATTGGTTCAGTTCCTTCTGAGCTGACTTCCCCTTCCTACTGGCTTCTCCCTCCTTTGAGGTACCATCTACTCCGGGAAACTCTCCCTAAAGCTGAGCTGGGTACCCTCTTCTGTCACACCCAAATGGCATAACCTCTAATTTCTCTCCTTAAGGCCTCTCTGTATCCGACTTATCTCTTCTATGTACAGTTGGTGCTCAATGAATGCTTGTTGAACAGAACAGGGCATCTCTGGACTAGGCCTGATACATGGGGCTTCTTCAGGGCTGGCAGCTTTAGTGGGAAGCTGGGTCTGCTTGTCATGGCTGCACTTGGCCTTGGAGGACCAACTGGGGAGGAGGCCTGACCCTCAGAGCTGTGCGCATCACCCTCCATTCCAGCTTCCGGTCTGCTCCCTGTCACAGCCTGCGCCTATCTGCTCTTCACCAAGCAGGTCTGCTGCTGCTGCATTCCCTCCCTGTCAGGCACTGTGGGGATGTGTGTGGCCAGGTTGAGGAAAGCGGACTTTAAACAAACAGCCCCTGGCCCCGGTTGGTGCCAAGTCTCGCCACCCCCAACCCTCCCCAGACAGAGGCCGCTCGCTGGACCGTGTGACAAGGAGCCAGCAGAATTCATTTAACAAAAAAGGATTTGGTGCTCTGCCTCCCACTCCGCTAGCCAGACTAGATAGTGGCTAAGGGCCCCTCCTGCTCTCCCTCCTCCTTGGGCCTTTCACCCCCTAATCTGCCAAGTGGGGAGCAGTCACGTGGACCCCCAGCTCTCGACAGGAAGCTGTCGGCACCGCTGGCTCACAGGGCTGGCTCCCCTCACCACCGGGAAGGCAGCCTGCCTTCCCCCAGTCCGGCTCTCTGAAACCCAACCCCTCTTTCCAGCTGCAGCACGAAAGAGCCCCAGGCCCAGCCTTCCCCCGGGACCCTGCAGCCTGCAGATCTCACGGTCAGGGAATTTTCCTGTGCAGTGTTCCAAGCCGGCAGAGCCTCCAGAACAAAGGGTAGGGAGAGACAGCAACGTCTTCACCAATGTACCCCCACCACCACCTCCAACCTGGGGGCAGGGAAGATTCCGGACAGAGGCTGTTCCTGGGATCTGGGGAAAGGGAAACCCAGAGGACAAAGATTGTTCTTCCTGGGGAGACCCACACCTTGGGAAGCAATCCCTGGAGGAGCTCAGCCCAGGTCTATTCTTCCAGCCCTTTATTCTCTCCCTTCTCTCAAAGGAACGAAATTCACCTACATTGGCTCTGACCTCCCAACAGGGGCCACAGTGGTGGGTGGATGGAGGACCTGCTGCTCGGAGAAGGCCTATCCTCTAAAGAGAATGGGACTGGCTGCTGGGCAGTGGCAGTGGGCTGTGGGGGGAGGGAGATGGGGGAGCAACTTCCAGAACTCACTAATTCCCCTACCTGGGGAAAAGGCTATTTACAAAGGAAAAATTGGACTTTCTGTTGCCTTTGTTTCTGAGAACAGACTGTTCCTCTAACAGCTAAAAAAAAAAAACACACACACACACACACAACTGTATCAAGCAGCAGAACTGAAAACAGTGTAAGACAGCAAAGAGATCCAAGAAAGCAAGGGTTGATTCAAATCTCCATTTCACCACTTAGTAGCCATGTGGTTGGTGCAGCTGTAGAGATACCCCAAGATACTATAAATAAGTAACTCCTCTGAACCTTATTTTTTCTCACCTATAATATGGAACTAATACTTACTATGTCTACCTCCATTATTTTAGTAACTATCAAGTTCCTACTATGTGTTCAGCATTAAGTCAGTTGCTCGAGACTGGAAAGTAACAAGACCTCTACCCAAGAGTCACATCAAATAATGTGCGTGGAGGTTCTTGGAAAACTGAAATGTCGAAATAAATAGATAAGGACCAGCTGTAATGATCTCATTAACTTTCTGCAAATGGGGCTGCTAAAGCGATTTTTAAAGTTCTTTAAAACAGTTTTAAGTCAGCCAGGCCTGTCTCTGTAATCTGGCTTGCACTATTTATTTGCTTAGCAAACCATTTCTTCATAGATAGTGCAAAAGGAAAGACTTCAGACCAGCCCGGGGCAGAATTTATCCCAAATTCAGAGTGAGTGGGGTCTGAATTAATTAGGTCTTTCTGTGGCTTAATGTATAAACCTGGGCTCAGGAAATTTGGCCTTTAAAGCAGGTGCCCTTTCAAATGAGGTGGGTTTCATGTGACTATTTTAACTTCAGCTCCATTACCCTTTATGGGCTGTAGGGGTGGTGGGGGGAGCCTGAGGGGAGGGATCTGGTACAGGTCTGCTTCCGTGAGTGGGGAGCCAAAGGAACCGTAAAATAGCCGTCTCCCAATCCGGTAAATTCACACTTGCAGCTCCTGGCTGGGGTCTCCTCCAGCCAGGATGAGAACAGGGGCCCAGGTTCCCAGTCCAGCTTATGAGGCTGGTTTGCCTGCTGGGGTTTCCTTCTCGGATCTCTTATTGGCCCCTCATCATCTTTGGACTCCCACCCTAAACTTTATTGAGGTATAATTGACAAATAAAAGTGTATATGTTTAAAGTGTACAATGTGGTGATTTGATACACATATGCATTGTGAAATGATTACCACAATCAAGTTAATGAACACATCCATTACCTCATGTAGTTACTTTTTTAATGAAAATGTTTAAATTCTACTCTCTTAGCAACTTTCAAGTATACAATACAGTGTTTTTAAGTACAGTCACCATGTTGTACATTAGATCCTTAGGATTTTTTCATCTTACAACTCCAAGTTTGTACCATTTCACCAGCACATTTCTATTCCATCCCCCCACCTTCTAGCCCCAACAACTACCATTCCCTGTTTCTGAGTTCAAGTTTTTTAAGATTTTACCAATAAGTGATACCATACTATATTTGTCTTCTTCCTGTCTGGCTTATTTCACTTAGCATAATGCTTCTGAATTCATTCATATTGTTGTAAATGGCAGTTTTTCCTTTCTCATGGCTGAATAATATTCCTCTCTGTGTGTGTTCTCTAACAATAAATCCATCAGCAGTCACTTATGTTGTTTTCATATCTTGATTATTGTGAGTAATGCTGCAATGAACATGCAAGTGCCTATATCTCTTTGAAATAGTGATTTCATTCCTTTGGCTATATACCCAGCATTAGAGTGGCTAGATCTTTTTTTTTTTTTTTTAAAGATTTATTCGTTTGTACAAGAACCAGGGTAGAGGCCAGATGCGCAGGAGGGTGAGAGGACTCACCAGAGACAGAGTGGGGAACAGAACAGGCAGACTAATGAAATACACTGCTGAGGGGAGCAGCAGGTGAGACAGGAGAGGTCTGCTGCACCATGTGGGCCGCTCCTAGGCTGGCGGGATCGAACTGGCACTGCAGAGGCCGCAGACAGCCTCACAGTGCAGTGCTCAACCACCTGCACCACCAGCGAGGCCCTGGAGTGGCTAGATCTTATGGTAGTCTTACTGAGCTCTATTTTTAATTTTTTGAGGAACATCCATACTGTTTTCCATCATGGCTGCACTAATTTACATTCAATTTACATACATTTTACCTACAATGTATAAGGGTTCCCTTTCTTCACATCCTTGCCAACACTCTTTATCTCTTCTGTTAATAGTCATCCTAACAGGTGTGAGGTGATAACTCCTTGTGTTTTTAATTTGCATTTCCCTGATGATTAGAGATGTTGAGCACTTTTCCTGTACCTGCTGGCCATTTGTATCTTTTTTTAAACAGATTTTTTAAAAAGATTTATTTATACAAGCACTGGGGTACAAGCCAGAGGCATGGAAGGGTGAGAGAATTCACCAGAGGTAGAGTGGGGAGCAGAACAGGCAGATGGACTGAAAGCACTACTGAGGGGAGCAGCGGGCGAGACAGGAGAGGTCTGCCGCGCAATGTGGGAATCTCCCTGGCCCGTCAGGAATCGAACTAGTGCTGCAGAGGCTGCGTGCGAAGAGCTTCATAGTGCTGCGCTCAACCCGCTGCACCACTGGGGAGGCCCTGTATATCTTTGGGAAAATGTCAATTCCTCTGCCCATTTCTCAGTCAGATTGTTTTGTTTTGCTATTGAGTTGTAAGTGCTCCTAGTATATTTTGGATAATAACTCCTTTTGGATCTATGGTTTGAAAACACTTCCTCATATTCCGTAAGCTGCCTTTTCATTTTGCCCATTGTTTCCTTCTCTGGGCAGAAATGTTGGAATTTGATATAGTCCCACTTCCTTATTTTTGCTTTCATTGTCAATCCAAAAAGTAAATGCCAAGATCAATGTCAAGGAGTTTTCTCTCTGTTTTTTTCTAGGAGATTTACAGATTCAGATCTTGTACTTAAATCTTTAGTCCATTTTGAGGTGATTTTTGTGTATGGTTTAAGGGTCCAACCTTCTTCTGCATGACATGTACAGAACCAGTTGACTTGCTGGGTGACCCCCAAACTCCCCAGCCATCTCAGGCACGATTCACTAAAGAATCTCTTGGCCAATCCTGAAACTCCTCAGCCCTCTTCCATGGATCTCTCCCACCTCTTCCTATCTGCCCAGCAGGATTCCAGGTCAACTGTCTCTAGAATAGCCACTAGCTGTATGTGGGTACTGAGCACTCCTGGTCAGTCCGTGCTAATTGAAATATGCTGTCCTTATAAAATACACACCAGATTTGAAGACTTAGTATAAAAAAAGTAAAGTATCACAGTAATTTCCATATTATCTACATGTTATGACTATATCGGGTAACATAAAATACGTTATCATTTCACCTGTTTCTTTTTAATTTAGCTACTAAAGACTGAAAAGGGCCCCCATGCCTGTCATTTGTGGTTCACACCATCTTTCTCTTTAACAGAGCTGCTTTTGAACATGAGTAGAAAGTGCCTAGGCTGGGTGGTGGCAGCCCTCAGTGACATAAGGTCTGCTTCCCTTTGTTTCTAATTGAATTAAACATAACTGCTTCAGATGATAGCTGAGAGACTTTAGAGGAGCTAACAGCTGTGAAAGCACCTTGCAAGTGAACTCAATCCATGTTGTGTTCTTTACCATTCTTTTTGAAATCACATTTCAAAACACCTCCTAAAGCAATGGTTATAAACCCTGGATGCATCATTCACCTGGGTAGTTTTTAAAAAATGCACAGGATCTGGGTCCACTCTGGTTTAATTGGTCTGGGTGGGGCCTGGGCATCAGCATAATTTCAAAGCTCTGCAGGTGATTCTCATGCATAGCCAGCTCGGAGAACCCCTGTCTTAGAATCACCCTTCATCCCTCAATGCTCTAGTCCCTTTATGTGGTGTCCCTTTAGCATTTACATGTGTTTTGTGCTACTTTAATTATAACCAACATTTTTGAAAGCCTACTAAATGTCAGGCACTTTACATATAATGTCTCTAATCCTTACCACAGCTCTGCAAGGAAAATTAGATTAACCCCATTCTGCAGATGAGGAAGTTAGGGCTTAGAAAGGTTCAAGTAACTTGCTTGTTCAATAAGTGGAGGAGGGCAGGAGAAGTACACAATCCAGCTAACGCTGAATCCAGAGTGTGAGTCACTCACCCCTAGATCACACTACCTTTGTTTTAAATTCTTCAGTAACTAGAATATAAGCTTCCAGGGCAGGGTCAGTTTCTTTTGTTTGCAACCAGTCTCAAATGATGCATTCAGCAGCCCTTTCAGAAACTCCGAATATATCTCAGAATATGTATTTAGAACATTCCTAAGCAGGCCATGGGGTTGGAGACCCACTTGGGGATGAGCTCGAATGGGGTCTGCGATGCACTCCAAGCAGTGGGCCAGGACTTTCAGGGATGCCTTCCCCAGGCAGACCCTAACAAAAACCAGAAGATTCCAGAACAGAGCAGGCACAAGGAGCTTGAGTTTTGTGCCTCCTGGGGTGGGAGGTGCCCCAATCCCACCAGCTGTGCCTCCCTTATCCCCAAGTCTCTTGCCCAATCTGTTGCAACCAAGGGCTGTCTTGATTTTCTAGACCTGCTCTGAGTCCATATAATTTATTA